GCAGCGGCCGACTGTAAAAAAAAAAAAAATTGGGGGCACCACTTTTTTGGTGCCCGCAAATCTTGGCGCCCTAAGCAACTGCCTAGTTGGCCTAAAATGGTAGCACCCAAAAGCCGGCTCCAGGCACCAGCCCACCAAGCTTGTGCTTGGGGCAGCACCTGGAAGGGGGCGGCCCGGTGCGGCGCGGCACTCCGGCTCTGGCCGCCAGGGAGAGCAGAGCTGCAATGGGCTCACCGCCCTCCCCGCGGCGCTCTGGCCGCCAGGGAGAGTGGGGCCGCGACTTGGCTTGCCGCCCTCCCCGCGGCGCTCTGGCCGCCGGGGTGAGCGGTGCCGCGATGGGCTCGCCGCCCTCCTCCCGGGGGTCCAGCTGCCAGCGGAGCCGCGGCGGGCTCGCCGCCCTCCCCGTTCCCTTGCGCTCCGGCCGGTTGGGGAGAGCGGCCCGCGTCCGGGCTCGGCGCCCTCCCTGCCGCGCTGGGGGGAGGGAGGGGCGGCGGCCGGAGGCTTTTTTGCCTGGGGCGGCAAAAAAGCCAGAGCCGGGCCTGGTAGCACCGGCCCTGAGTGGAAGGCATCAAATGCAGCAGGACTAACCTTCTACTGTGCAACTGCATGGATGCTGCTCCATGACACACTACCATGCTGGATCATTGTAGGGGCTGGGTGGGTTGCACTGACGAGGTGGATCTATAAGCCAACCCTCCGCTCACCTTGTAGAAGGGGAGCTCAGGAGGTTGTGGATGCTGAGTGATTTACAGACAGGAGAGGATTCCATCCTCCACAGCCCACCCGGAGAAGCATGTGCAAAGCCAAGCCATCATGATCAACCCCTGAGTTCTGGCCATCGCAATTAGAATAATCAATGAAGGACTAAGAAATATTACGTTAGTATGCACCTCACCATCAGAAAAAACACCCAGGATTATAGACTGTGATTTTCACTTGCTTACCCTGATGTTAAACCATCATTATTGTACTGAACATGCCGGCATGCACTCTAGCTAAATTGAAATTCAGCCAGCATCATCCTTCTGTACCTGTGCAGCTCCTTCCTCAAATCCTTTAATGACTTCTTGTCTGCCGATCTTGAACCTGAAAGGCTTGTTTCGGTCTCTGGAGGAATCAAACTTCTTTCCGTTCTGTAGCATCCCTGCCAAAACAACACAAACGATTTCAGTTCCAACTAAGCTTGAAGTTAAGTGCTGAGGGGATGGAGTGAAGACTGATGTGTTGGTCAGATCAATCATATATTTCCTTTTAAAAAAAAAAGGCCAATCCAAGATTTATAAGGCAAGAGACCCTCACCCAGAGGCATCACAGGTTCTAACAGGAAGTAACTGATTGTAGAACTATATTGTAATGATTTGTATTGAGTAGCAGCTAGAAACCCCAACCAAGACTGTGGCCCCTGTTGTGCTAGGCACTGTACAAACACACCTAAAGCTAAATAGCCTTTACAAGCTAAATAGCCAAGGGGACAAAGAGTGGGCAAGAAACACAGGCAAAGAGTGGGGAAGCCATTTGCCCAAGGTCAGAGTGCAGGTCTGTGTCAGATCTAAGATAAGAGCCCAGATCTCCTGTCGCCCAGTCCAATGACCTCATCCCTAGAGCGGGGGTTCTCAAACTTTGTCCCTAAGCTACGAAACGAAAGCAATTGCGCCTCCTCATAGCTTCCAAAGGCAACACGAGGAACTGAACGTCCTACACTCCACAGAATACGAGTAATAAAGTAAAAGGGCTTTGAGCAATAGAGCTATAATAAGGTCATAAAGCGCCTCCTGCGTTAACTCACACTTCTGTTCAAAGCCCACACATAGCAACAGCTAAATAACACTGCCCGGACATTAGGTAAACTCATTAGGGAACTCATACCACCAAACAATTATCAGTTGTGTCAGTAGCCACCACTCCTATCTTATCGGTGCGGGGAATGAGCTTGTTTCCACAAAGTAGTTGCATTTGACACCTTGTCCCCATCCCCAGATCTCACGGGCCCTGGGATGAGGAGATGGGCTCATGGGTGCTGGGCTCACAGGCAGGGAGTGGGGCCCTCCTTTAGTTCAGGTGCCCCGCAGGTGGGGTCAGTGGGGTTCCAGGGCAGGGGGCAAAGCAGGGGAGTCAGAGCATGGCAATCACTGGTCCACCAGCACTGTGAGCTCCATGTAGGTCCGGTGCCGCAGGACGTGGGTGCGACGCTGGTAGCCACTGCTGTTGTGATCCCCAGGGCAGGGGGAGCTGGGGTCAAGATGGTACCGCCAGCAGCTGGGACCAGCTGGTTACTTTTGAGTGTGTCACCTCTGGCAGGAAATGCACAGGCCCCAGCTCCCCCTGGGACCTGACCTGACCACCCACAGAGACTTCACACCCATGGCAGCTGTGACATTTTTGGTGTTAACCAAGGTGTCTGGGGTGAATCACTACCACCTGCTTACAGCGTGAGGGAGTCTTGTCTGTGCCCACCGTGGGGCATTCTCCCAAAGTTTCCAGCTGCAGGCAACACACGCACTCCACTCTGTGCTCCATAAACCCCGCTCTTTCCCTCTGCAGGCTAGTCATTTGCACACCCCACCTTATACACTAGAGCACCCAGTCCCTTGTCTCCTGGACAGCCACAATGTACACCGATCCGCCGTCTCCATGGAAGCCATGCACCCCAGTTTACTGGCTTCACCTCGGTTCAACACTCGACTTAGCACAAGACACCAGACGTGTCTATAGTACAACCAAATAAAAGTTTAGCTAAAAAAGCTTGCGTTAAAGATTCAAATAAGAGGATTGGAAACAAGAGTTACAGGTAAAAGAAAAATATCAAATGCATTCTAGAGCCTATACTTATTAACAAGTTCCTTTCCTGTCTAGTAAGATATTTCTCACCCAATGGTCAGTCCTTGCAGCACTTGTCCAGTCCAGAAAGCTGGGATCACTTTTCAGGAGACACTCCACTGGCACAGTGTCACCTCCCTAGTGTGGATGTCGACTGTTGTCAGTGTTGACTGAGTCAGTTCTGAGACCCACCCTGCCACAGGTGACAAGTTTCACCTCCACCAGTTTTGGAAACCAACATTCTCATGTTACATGTCTCTAAAAATGGTTTCCACCCTGCTAGTTCTTAGCTTTGGATATAGACCACACACAAAGAGACCCCCTTCAGCGAAATAGCGAGAAGATGGTTAGACGCAGCTGTAATATACCTGCCAGGGCACGCCTGTGCCACATCAACTCTCTGGTGTGCGCGGCCAAGCTCCGGCACCAGGGCACAAGGAGGAAGGTGGTGCCAAGAGCTCCCGCAGAGCTCAGAGCCTACTTTGCACAGGGGCCACCACCTGATGGAGGAACCAAACTGGAAATGAACAGCAGTGGTGGAAAGGTTCTCTTTCTGGTTCAGCCCTGCTCCCCAGGGACAAGTGGCAGCTCAGTAATGCAGGAGGTGCGGGGGCTAGAGCACCACATTCCAAGTGGCAGCCAATCTTTCCCAGGAAGGAACGGGGCCCCCCTTCGACAGAAAGTCCTGTCTGTTTGCTGGATGAGAAAGAAGGCCCTGAGTCAGTTTAAACTCAGGCTATTTATCCAAAAGCCCTTTCTTTGTCTGTTGGCCTCTGGAGAATCCAGTTTGAACTAATATATGTATATCTCTCCACTGGATGGTACTTCTCTGGAGGTGCTACAACCTGAGTGAATTTGCCTAATCACCGTCAACCCTGCCCCATTGTTCTTAGTTCCTGGAGGAGCTGAGGTCATCCTCTCCCATGGGATTATACACAATCCTTGGCCCACAATGATACATAAACTTAATACAGTAAGATCTCCCCAAAGATATTGCAGGAAATTGCCACATCTGCCAAACTTACACCATTTAAAATCTACACAATCCCTACAATAAAACAACAAATAAATTAAGCAATTGAAATATTCATAAACACCACCAAGATTATTATCACATGCACCTATAGATAATTCACTAACCCTCTCAAAACTGTTGTTTCTTCAGTCTCAAATCACCCTCTTCCCAAAAATCGCAAGGGTCGGGGCGCGGGGGGAGGGCAATCTTATAGCAATGGTAGGTCAAGTACATAGTGTTTCTCTTAAGGTACAATGTTAACAGCATAACTACTAATAAAAATACTATGTGTAGCATATGCAGTATAGATAGCCAGGTTAACGTTGCTATGTGTGGTCCTGATCTAAAGCCCAGTTAAATCAATGGGTGTCCTTTCATTGACTTCAGCGGCCTTTGAATTAGGACAGCGTTTTTCAACCCATGGTCAGCAGGCAATTGAGAATCCACAGACTATGTCCAAGGGGTCCACGAAAGATTGTTGTTACCATACAACAGTTTTCAACCAGTGGTCTGTGGACCCCTGGGGATCCACAGACTATGTCTAAGATTTCCAAAGGGGTCCGCATCTCTAGTTGAAATTTTTTAGCAGTCCGTAAATGAAAAAAGGTTGAAAACCAATGAATTAGAGTGTATATTACATTTTATTGTAGTGCCACAAACCTTCTGCCATAGAAACCTTGAGCCAAATTTGCTGTCAGTTAAATCTGTGTAAATAGGGAGCAATTCTGTTGACTTGTTACTGCAACTGGGATTATTTAGTCTGCAGAAGAGAAGAATGAGGGGGGATTTGATAGCTGCTTTCAACTACCTGAAAGTGGGTTCCAAAGGGGATGGATCTAGACTGTTCTCAGTGGTAGCAGATGACAGAACAAGGAGTAATGGTCTCAAGTTGCAGTGGGGGAGGTTTAGGTTGGATATTAGGAAAAACTTTTTCACTAGGAGGGTGGTGAAACACTGGAATGGGTTATCTACAGAGGTGGTGGAATCTCCTTCCTTAGAGGTTTTTAAGGCCCGGCTTGAAAAAGCCCTGGCTGGGATGATTTAGTTGGAGATTGCTCCTGCTTTGAGCAGGGGGTTGGACTAGATGACCTCCTGAGGTCCCTTCCAACCCTGATATTCTATGATTCTATGAAATCTGCACCATACTAACTGACAAAAAATTTGCCCCCTTGTATGTAGCAGTAATTCAAATTATTAGAACTGGTTGCAGAAATTTAGAGAGAACCATATTCCATTCCACCAAGAACTAAGCAGTTCAAGTGTGCATCAGTGCTGGACAGGAGGATCGAAGCAGCAGTTAACTTTTTTGCTTTTTCTTCTTCTTCTTTTCTTTTTGGCAAGCTCAGTCAGTATCTTGTACTTGTTCCCAGAGAAATAACCAAAGGGCACAAAGTGCTCACATGCATGCGGGTAGAGAGGTCACTCATCTGCCCCACTCATCTTACACCTTCGTTCGCCAGTTCATCATCACTGCAAAAGTACAGTTCACATAGATTCACAGCCAGGAATTTTTCACTGTGTCAGGCAAGAGCACTACCTGCTCCCCAGTAAACAACAGATTAAGCTCAGCATCTTCTTTCTTCTCTTGCCCAGGGGGAAGGACTATATAGTGGGTGCATGCATACCTCTCAGTGTCCCTAATCTCAGTCCCAAAGTTACCTCAGTTCCACCCAAACTTCATGACCCCTCACTTTTTAACTGCTGAAAATTATCTGCATCAGAAATAAACACTCTTGGTATAGAGTGTGACAGTGCACCCCTAAAGCTTTTTGGAAATATGCTTATGAATGTATATATGACATAACTGGAATATGTTTTATGCTACATATGCCATATAACATATCTCTGTAAAGGTTATGATCTCCTGAATGTATTCATCCTATTTGAATGCATGTGTCATTGTTGTATTCGAAGTTATGAATATTGGCTGTGTACTTGCTTGATTTCTAAGTAGCCTTAGTAAAGCATTTGGTCAGCTTCTTGAGAAAGGAATGTGCAAATTAAGTGCCCAATCAAGAAACACTTAAAGGACAATGAATTTTGGAAGGCTCTAATCCACATAAGAAGTCTACCTGAGGACATTCAGGGTAGCATGTAAACAGTGGCTGCCTATTGTATTAGACATAGACTTGCATGTTCTATTTTATTTTGCTTGGTAATTCACTTTGTTCTGTCTGTTACTACTTGGAACCACTTAAATCCTACTTTTTGCATTTAATAAAATCACTTTTTACTTATTAATTAACTCAGAGTATGTATTAATACCTGGGGGGGGGGGCAAACAGCTGTGCATATCTCTCTATCAGTGTTAT